TACTTCTGACTAACGAAGTGTAGTTCTGGGAAACTCATTGAATTACAAAACGACTGTAAAGCCACTTTGAAAATTAACTTTTATTCCAACGGTTAAAACCAAAATTGTAGTGTTTCATTGTAAAATTCCATGTCAATCGATGAGACTTGACATTTTTATGATATTAAAAAGGTTTTAAATGTTTGCATATTTCGTTATTTTTATACCATTTCATGTTTTTAAAACTGTTTTAAGCTAAATTTTCAAAAAGAAACAGTTCTATAAAATTAAATACAGTTAATTTCCAAAACAAGTAGTTTGATATTTTGAAATAATTATTACGACTGTTTATTATTTTTATACTTTGAGATGCATTATTGTATATAATGCGCGTGAAAAATATTGAAAATTACAAACGAATTTTAAGAACATCAAAACATCGTTCAGCTCATCACTGCATTTTTCTAAGAGCTTCAAGTCAAAATATCACTGCTTACAATATTATTTTGTTGATGGATTATTGCCACGATGGAAAGCGATAATATGATTTTCGGCCAGATCGTTGAATTATTGGTACAGCGCGTAGAGGTCGTCATCGTGAAAAGGTCTCGTAGATGACGAGGCGCATACCATTATCGTTTTCTAATATAATAATAATTGGTAGACATACATTGTGTAGAGGTGCCTTATGCGGTTTCTCCAGACGATGATTCGATGATACGGATAGCCAAAACGGAAATCGGCCATCTCCGGCGTGCGCTCTCGCTGCTTTCGTCATCACCGGGGAAACGGCGATCCGACCGACGACGGGTGATATATTTCACAATGTTCAGCCATCTCTCTTTTCTATACAGTTCAGCTCTCGTCGTCACCGGTCGGAGGTTAACCGCCGCGACTGAAATTGTATAATATAATATTAATATGCGTATGAGATATCTACAGCCACGACGTGTCGCGCCGAAAACAAACAGCACGCGACGCCGACCAGCCGCGATCGTGAGAGAATATTATAATAATAATCGGATTCCGATCCGATATGCCGACATAACAATGCAGCGATTTTCTTAACAACGGCCGACATGTTATATAATATATATCATTTGTCTATTTATTGGTATTATACTATAGTATAATATTATAAAAGCACAGCACACATACGCACGGTCGTATAACGAAGATTAAAAAAAACGGACATTTCAACCGTCTCGTCTCTATTAATTATATCACGGTCAGATTTGTAGACTTACCGGCTGGATACAAGTCTTCGTCGTGTATAAAAATACAGTTGGACGTCGGTCGTCCAAGAGTTCTAGTGACCAAAATATACTCAAAATCATACACATGTCGTATTATTTCAAACTTGAACATCCAACGGATAAAAAAATATTGGCACACAGCTGGTTTTTAATTATTTGTTATTGAAAGTTTTGATATTTTCTTTTCTTTATGTTGAACTAAAACATGTTTTAATCACAATGTATGCACGTTATTAAATACAAAAACAATACACACAAAAAAACATATTATGCCGAATACTGATTTGGCGTATTTACGTAAAAAAATTATATTTACAACTTAGATAAGATTTCGTACATAACTAATCGTTTATTTGAAAGAATTTTTCAGATTACGAATTATTTGAAACAAATATGTTTTCACCCGCTCAGAATGGATTATCTCTCCACACAACCCATTCAAAATCAACCCAATATACATCGTACAGTACTTATACTTATTGTAAACAATCATTTTCTTGTAATAAAAAATTGAAAAAATAAATAGATATCTACCTACGAGTATATTAATCAGAAATATTTATTAGTCTCTTATCTTATTAAATTTACTTATCACTTAAAAAATGAATTGTCGATCATCACAGTAAATAATGATATACGAACGATACTGAATAATCTCAAACAACCGTTAAACCATTTTTGTTCATTTTATAATGTAATAAACGTTTTCCCTGTCACCTATTAAATTTTATCTAAAATTGAATTTACTATTTATCAATACAATTTCAGTTGTAATTCCACACAAACTTCAAATAAATTGATAATATTAATATTAAACTAATTTTACTGAGTACAAATTAAATTAAATTTTTACTATTGATTTTTTTTTTTTTTTTACTTTTTAGTAGTATATTTTAACAGTGAATTTTTGACCAAAATCAGTGCGCTATTGTTTATTAGTTATTATATTCTACAGTTAAGGTCGTATCGTATATCGTAAGACGTGTTGTTATTATATTGTTACTGAACGAACGGATGACCAAACAACGGTAACGTCGAAGGAGACGTGTTGTCGCCTGTCGGTGACTGAGGACTACGGGAAAGCATTTACAATATAATTATTAACGTACGCGACTTTTTTAATCGCCGCCGCATTAAAACCATTAATCAACTGTCTCGTCGAACCAGACTCCAACTACACGTATAATATAATATTGTATTAATGTGTGAGATAAAGGTATGTGTAGATACCTACATAAGTATTCTTTATAAGCATTTTTATTATAATATTTACACGATTGCCACACACGAGCACAATAATAATATGTTCCTATACATCATGTACCTACCTGTGTGTGGACGGTGCATATTATAAACACACGTCGTATTATTAAACGGTAATGACGTTGGACATACGAATACTATATAAAATGTGAACGTGCGGCGAACGTACAGAGGACTACGTTTAAATTTTCAAGTTTTTTTTTTCTGTTTGCGGCAAATATCTGTTTTTTGCCGTCTTCGTTGTCATCGTTGAGCGTAGGACGTCCAAAAACATGGGACTTCAGCGACGGACGACAAAAAAAAAAAAAAAAAAATGTATAATTTGCAGCACGCACGTTTGAATTGCATGTTAATTCATATATAATATTATATTTAAGTATTATTTACAATAAAATGTTGTATTATCAATATAATTAAGTAAGTCCTGATCGTAGTATGTTAATATTTATGTGACTTTAATAAATAATAACTGTCAATAGAATGTTTTGAGTAAAGACATTTAAGTCGATGTTCATTCATAAATATTATTATTGAAGTACGATTTGACCATTATTATAGGTACTATATTATTTAAGATCATAAATTTATGATTATCAATAACTTTTTACAAACTTAAATACGTTTCGAGTTTCTATTTTTTGTGCGATATTTTTAGCAAAAGTAGGTACTTCTGCAAACGAATTTATTTACATCAGCTGTTTTCACTTGGATTAATTAATAATAATGCTGTCATTTCATTAGTGCCTGTAACCATATTACACATAGTACGATAGACGTTTCGTTAGTCTCAAAGTTAAACCACGTCAAACGTTTCTAAATCATAGATAACTAAATATCTGAAATTATTAACTATACACATGTAGTATATAGTATGTACTCGTGCTTAATCTTCCCTTTGACCTGCAACTTGTGCTTTTAGTAGAAATGATTAAAGCTGCAGTAACGATAGTAATAATAATTATTGTATTACATTAAGCAACACTCAGGTATTATTTATAGCAGTTCCTTATGTCAATATATATTTATTAATTAGAGCTCAAATGTGAAAATAAATTATTAAAAAGTCAATTTAGCTAATAATATAATTAGCTAAATAGAAAAAAAGAAGCATACATTTTTTTTATAACTTAGAATAATCTCATTTTTAATCGCATTAAAATATTACAAAAATGATTATATTTTAATTGACTTCTTTAAATTTGACATGTATATTTCTATTCTCCAGTCTGTTGTAAAGTTTAGGTAACCTTAAAACCTTTAAGTAAATTAATAATCACAAATTGTATAGTTTACACATTCAGCTACTTTTTTAATTTTTAATGAATAATATATATAATTATATGTTTTTTAAATCTTGATAAAAACAAAATATTAAAAATAAACCAAATTACTGCATATAATATTATGATAAATTGTCGTAAAAAAAAAAAAAAAAAAAACAATACAGTACCTATACGTGACATGCGTAATATAAAAGTTATATGTATTTTAGTTATAAAAAAATTAACTTATCTGATTTATATTTTAAAAACAATCATTATTATTTCATTGTGTTATTTTTAAATAAGTATTAATTCAATAGATAATTTTTAGTAATTAAATTAATTTTTATTGATAAAAAAATGCATTATTAAAAAAAAAAAAAATAAATAAAAATATATAGTAATACGAAAAATTATTTGTAATTTATTACTATAGATCTTTTTTTATTATTATTTTTAACTGTTGAGATAGATACGCTAATATTTTTTTATTAAAAACATTATTAATTTGCTAGTGAATAATATAATATATATTTAAAATCTGTTTATTATTATTTTTTTTTTTTGTAAAACAATTTAAGTTTTATCAACATGACGTCAATACACACATATAACTTTTATTAAAAATCATTTACAAATAATAAAAAAAATGTGGAATATGGTCGCATGTATCATATTCCTATGTGTATACTCTTTAGTTAGGAGATACGCGTATTTTTTACACTACTTTAATAATTTTATAGTTTAAACAAATGTTAAATAGATAATAATTAACTTTATTAAATCCAATTTAATCATAATGTATATAATATAATGATATATAGGTACTATCTATAATTTTTTTAAATTAATGACTGTGTGATAAACAAAATATTATAGATTATACGGTTTGGACACACATAATTACCAATATATTATAGTACTTTAATAGTGTGGAATCAAAAGATAAATTATTATTTTGCTTATTTATATTGTTTATGAAAACAGCGTTGTAATTAAATATATTTAACACTTTACCGTTTATGTTTTCCCTATTATTATTTATTATCTCGTATATTTTTTTAAATATATTAAAAAGTGTATGCATCAAGATTTATTTAAAATTGTGATTTATAGTTTCCATAATAAATTAATCGTTTTATATCATATAATATTAACATAGGATATTTAACACTTAGAATAAATTACATATTTGATACGTCATATTGATATTTTAAATAATTAAAATGTAATTTAATTCATTTAACTATTCTAATACCCTCCCTTCATTAAATTTATAATTGAATGATAATCTACCAATAAAGCTAAGTTTCTTGAAGACATTTTTACATACACGATTAAACGTAAAAAAAAAATATTAATTTCATATTAAAAAAAAATATTTAGTGATATACATCATATTATGTATTTTAATTTATATTTGTATTGGGCCATTGAGAATTGGTTTGTCTACAAATTTAATTGCTAAATCTTGAGGTGCATTTTCAAGTTCAAACATAACAAGTGTATTGATATTGGGCGGCGGCTTTAGAAAAGTAGCGGGTACGTAAAGTGTAACTTGAGGTCCGGCAAGTGGCCAATATCGACCTAGATTTTTATCATTTAAAAATACCACTCCCTGTAAAAATAATAAATATATTTTTAAGAATAACTTATATTATTTGAGTGAATTTCAATGAATATGAGTTAAAAAATTTTAAAAAATAAATAAAATTATAAAACATACCTTCGTCCAACCTGAAGTATCCAGGTATGTATCCAAAGTATTTGTATAATTTTCTGGTAAAGAAAATTGTGTTTTATAAAATGCCGGTACTTGGACATTTTCCACTGGTTTGATTGAAGAAAGCCAAGACGTTTCATTTAGAGGATGCGCAATCATTTTCCATGGACCTAGTTTTGTATTTTCAAGTATTACATCACCCAAAATTCCCTAAATAGATTAATTAATGTCTTGTAAAATATTATTTTAACACAATCTAACCAGAAATAAAATATTAATTAGTTATCATTTATCAGTCAACCTTTCTGTCTTCCATAAAATCTCCGTAATTGATTCTTCCTTGGTTCTCAATCAAAATACTCAGTTTTTGAGCAGAATTGTTATTAATATTTAAAAGTATAGTCGTGTTTGCTTTTAATCGATTCATAGTACCAACTTGAACCTGAAAATATCTTATATTATTTTAAACTGATATACTATCATTCATTATGCACGGATATGACTTAACTTGATCCAGGTATATGATTGCTCGATCTCTTACAGAGTTCACAGTTAAATTTACAGGATTTTGGAACTTATTATTTAGTAGTATTGTTTCATACATTACGAAACCAGTATTTATATCCATATCCTCAAACGTTATCGGCGCAACACTTGACACTGGTTCGATTCGATGAGTAACTGTTTCAAATATACTAACCAATGGTTGTAAATAGTATACACCATAGGCTGCTTTAAGCATTTGAGTCGGTAATGTATCGTTGGTACCAGAGTATTTCTAAAAATAACAATTAAAACCTTTAAATTTTGTATGACTGTGAAAGTTGTTATGACTCACGGCATTATCAAGTGTCTGTTTAATTTTAAAATATTTTTCGGTCAGGTCACCTGCTTCGGTTAATGGAGCATCATAGTCATATGATGTCAGTTGAGGTATATATCCAATATTCTCGTTAGTGTCGTTGGTATTAGCGCCAGATGTAAATCCAAAGTTTGTACCTCCGTGAAACATATAAAAACTAAACGAAGCGTTCATCGAAAGCATTGATTTCATTTGCCTTACAACATCGCTAGAATTTACTTTAGGATGTGGTTCCTGCCAATGAGCCAACCAACCCGGATAAAACTCAGAGTTGACTGGAGGTCCTCCTTTTTGAAACTTTTTCATTAAATTAAAACATTCAGAAGCTAAATAAAAAATATAACAAAATCGGTTGTAAGCGTATGATTTTACAAGAGGTAATAAAGATCTAACTTTCTATGTATTTGTTTCATAAAACTATATGTAAGGCTATAATGACCACTTTTATCATAGATTAGGTTAGGTTACCTATTACTGACCGTTTTTTGAAATTCCAAAATCAACGGTTGCGTAAACTTCTGGTATAGAGCCACAATCAAAACTACTTTGTTGACACATATCAACTGTATAGAGTAAAGCTTTATTTTCTACGTATCCTTTAAATAAATCACGTAACCACAGTTTATAGTCTGAATCACATGCATAGTAACTCCCATACTCATTTTCCACCTATAGATAAATGCAAATACAAATTTGAATATAAAAATTAACATGCATGTGAATTCGAATTTATTAAATATTATGTTTTCAAATATTGTATGTGTATCAATTTAGGAGATACTTTTTAAAAGTACCAAAATATTTAAACACTAATTTTCTTAAAATATAATTGTATTCTGATAATTAATAATAATTAATGTTTAAATCACCTGGACCATAATGATATTCCCACCGTTTCCATACAAATAAGGTTGGACTTTTGGCATAAGAACACTAAACCATTTCGAAACATATTTTTTAAAACCTAAAATATAAATTTTAAAACATTAAATAATTTAGATCATATTATAAAACAAAAAAAAACATATTTAGTATAAAACTAATTTACTATGATAAAATGATAATATAATTTTTTACTATGATTCGTTTAAATTATATCAGTCTTAAATCCTAGTAAAATAATAAATGATAATACAACTACGAAAAATTTAAATATAATTTTATTCCAAAAATAAAATAAATAACCATTTTTTTTTTTTTTTTTTTTTTTGTATTGAGTACATAATGAGTTTTGATAAAATGCTTAAATTTTCAATAAAAAAAGTGGTTTTGGATATCAAATTGGATCTTATTTGTAATTTTAAGAATTCAAACTTAAAAACTCCCAGTACTTATTTTTGTAAATGAGGTAAACAAACAAATAATTAAGGAAAAACAGAAATTTTCACACAAATCTAATTTTTTGATGAAATCAATTTTGTTTTTTTTTTTATGTTACTCGCAAAATAATAACCATACGAGTAGATACTTGACATTTTCACTAAATCTTTATATTATTGATTTCTATAACAATAGTTTTCAAAATATTTCAACTATTTATGATAAATAAACTTAAGAAATTTTAATTTTTTTTTATGAAATATTTTGATTTAAGAATTTTAATTTTTTTATAAGCTTTTTAACCTATAAATGATATATATATATATATATATATATCAACTTCTTATGACTATTTCAAGCTCGATTTTTACTACTACAATAATTATTTCTTTTCTAACAATTTTTAATAATATTTTTGACTTATTTAAAAATATTATCTATTTGTAGGTATAATGAATCTTTTTTACTATTTTACAGTGTTTAGATATTTTTAAATTTTAAGTTATATATGTTGATATAATATGATATGAAAATATATTTTTATGATAATAAAAATTAATACCTAATAAATGCAATATTTTCGTAAAAAATTGAACTAACCTAATATTTATATTAATTTTATATATCATATATTTATAATAATTGTATGTAATTTGGTATTAACCTAAATGTACGGTATTAAAAGCGAAATAAATTAATTTAATATTATCATAAAAATAAAAATGACTTAGTTATAGATGATTTTCACTTAATTTTTTTTTTTATATACAAATATACAATGATATACTTATCATTGAATTTAAAATGTTTATACCTGTAATAGTTATCCACTTAGCGCCTAATGTATAGTAAAGCAATTATTCTCGTTTACCTACCTGATTTATATTTTAGGCCATTAACTACGAGTTACTGCATAATTAGAAAGAATTTTTAAATTGTTATTACTTTATACAAATTTAAAATTTTTTTTATATATATTTTTAACCCATCAACAATTGAATAGGGTAAATATTCACTTAAGACAAATTTAAATGCACGTATAAAACTAACCTTAGTAGAATATAATTATAACTTTTAGTACTTACTCTAAGTCATTATTATTGTTATTTATTTATTTTTATACTTTTTTGTGTAAGAAAACAATGAAATATATTTTTATTACATGCAAGTGAATATTACATCAAAACCAGGTGGGTAGTGACAGGTTAATTATATTTTAATCGTACTAGTACTTTCTTAATTATAGGTACTTGAATCATTAGTTCTCAAACTCCTTTTAGGCGTAACGTTCAATATCCAATATGGAAATCCACCCTAAACATGGATGGTTTATTAAAATATATTATTTCTAATATAAGTATCGAATGAGATATAGTGCAACTATACTTACAAAATCACGTTCAGCACATATATATGGTCCAGGTCTCAAGAGTAAATACATCCCTTCGTCTTGGATTAATTTTATAAAATACTCCAAATCGGCCATCCCTTCGAAATTATATATACCAGGGAACGGTTCGTGTAAGCTCCATTCTACATAACTATATAATATAATTAATGTGTAAAAATTATAAAACTACGTGTTTTTTCTAATTGGTGTTTTTTTTTTCTTTGTTTCCATATTTTATGTTTAATATTCTTATGTGGGAACTGGTAAATAATTCTTTAATCAATTGTTAATAACCATGTGTATATACATATATCATTACAATTAACATTAAATAAAAAATAAATAATTACATAGTTTGAAACTTGTTTTTAGTATAAAATCTAAATTATTCTTTATTGTTTTTTACATTTAATCTAACTAGTATGTAAATTTTAGGTACTAATAATTACGTTTCTTGTGTTTTAAACATTATTATAGCTAATTTTTAAGTAAATAATTATATATATTTTCCATATATATATATATATATTAGTTAAATGTATAATGTTATAACTTGTTATAATCATAGAAAATTATTTCTTAAATCTTGAAGATACTTAAAAATAAACTATAATAGATGTTATGTCATTATTAGATACAATCTGTATATTTCAAGGAAAATTTTGTACATAAAATAACTTAAAGAAACTGAATATCATCATGAATATACAAAAACATTTAGTTAAAATATAAAAAACAGCTAACATTTTCATACCACAAAATTTAGTACTTAAAAATATTTTCTTTAAAATACGCATTAATTATGTTTTTTCATTTATTTGTACTATGTACTAACGTTGTTATGGCATTTAATCCAGCAGCTTTTATCTTTTGAATTCTATCTTTCCAATAAAGTTTAGGAATTCGAAAATAGTGTAGATCACCAGAAATATATCGGAATACTTCTCCGTCTTTTAGGAATTCATTTTTTTCATAATCTACAATAAATGTCCGCTTATTTATCTAAAAATTAAATCAATACAACCAAATAAATCTTTGAATTATTTTAGTTAATTTTAAACTATCGATTTCGGTTATATTAAAAAAATGTTATAAATCTAGTACTTACTGGATTATGATTATCTGGTAAAACATAAATAAATAACGACAAAAAACAATACACGCCAATCCAATGCATGTTTCGCAGTTTAAAGCTTATTTTATTATTTTAATGTATATCACAACATAAAAAAAAAATGTCTCATATTTTTCTATTCAATACGTTATGAATTCGCTACTCTATAACAAACAACAGTTGAATCAATAATCTTGTTTTGTAGTCTCATTATACAACTATTACTTATTTAATAGTTGTTATCTGTTTATTCATTTTTTTTTCATTCAACATACAATTTTTTTATTCAACAAATAATTCAATGATAATTTAATTTTTAATTAATATAAAAATCAAATAATTAATAAATTAACTACAAGGTTTTGATGTTAAATATGGTTTCAATTTTTTGGTTGACATTTATAGAATGATCATGCGTTTTGTATGATAGTAATTTTCTCTTATAAATATACGGAATAGAGAAAAAATTAAAAAAAAAAATAAATTTGAACTTTAATACCATTAAAAACAACAATTTTACTTATATATCAATATTATGTTTTTCAATTTTATTAATTTAGTGGTTCTCGCCTTACATTAAAATTGAAATTATGCTGAATAATTTGTTAAAGTAACTGTATTAAGTAAGTACTTTCATATTATTATCTTAATAACTGAAAAAAATATATATTTATTTATAAAAAATGATGTTTATCTTGCTGTACAAATATTATGTAACAAGAAAAAAAAATATATATATATATATATTTCTTTTTTAATCGTAAAAAATGTTTATTAGTTTGTCTATAGATAATTAATGTGAATGGCAATGATGTTTATGTACTTTATTTGTAACTATGTTCACAGTTCAAATTTGAAATTAGTACAATAGTAGGTTATTGTTAATTAAATAATTATTTAAAAAAATATAGTGATTCGATAAATGTTAAAAAAAAACATAGTATGCAAATATCAAAGATCTATACGTAGTAAACGTATTATACAGTATCTACACAAATATACTCTAAAAATCAATTTAGGTGTTAATGGTTTTGGTTTAAAAAACCAGAAAATATTTTTATTTTTTAAGCATTATTCTTATTATTTCAATTAATATTATGTTGTAATTTCATGTTAATATAAAAATATAAAAATTATAACTTATTATAGCACTTAATTAAGCTTTTAATTTTTTTTTTTACCATAATTATCATTTTTTATAGACACGTTTCATGTATTAAATACTTTTACATATATATTTTATTTTTAAAATATTCTTATTTTAATAATTAATAACTATAGTATTATCATATTTATTTAATATTGAATTATTAAAATTTTATTTCGTTATAATAAAAACTTATAAAATAAGTAAACGTGCATTTAATTACGTTTTTTACCAACTACTCAAATATATTATAATGACGTTGATTATTATTGAAAATTAGTTTAAATTATCGTAATAATTATTAGACAATTTAATTAATAACTGTTTTTAAAAAAGATTATTACTTATAAAAACATATCTATACACGCTCCATCACTCATTTAGTCCTATTCTCCTATCACAAAGATTCTATCGAGAAAATACTAATAAATTATATTAATGAACCAAAGTTTTTGATTTTCTTTGTTTGTATATTTTTTTATTAAATGATAAAATTTATTATAGTCAGTTGCTAAACTATAAATCGTTCTAATGGGATTAAACTATGATGATTTGACAAAAATACGAAATCAGTGCATTTTAAAAGCTCAATCTAGTTTAGTGATGGAGTATAAAATTTTTGTCATATACTTTATTGGTCTTGTAGGTACTTAACAAATCAATGGTGATATGACAGAAAACAATACATTTCTAACTTAATTCAAAACAATATAACTTAAAAATATATCTTACTAAAAACGAACTAAGAATTATTTGTGACTAGAATTAACATTCAAAAGTTAGTTGATAGCTTAAATTCAATGGAATAATATTCTTAATGATTTCATCTTAATCTAAATCTAGCTTAAAAATAAGCTTAATATTAAATGTTTTCGGATACAGTTATTTTTACAGTATTTAAAAAATTGTAGTTTCTTAAATAACATTAAAAGCATTACAAAAAAAAATGTATTCTATGTTTATTTTTACAAATCATTTAAATAAATAAAAGTTTTTCTTTTCAATGGAGTCGTTTTTAAACAAATTATGCTTAGAAATAATTTTTGTATAAAATTAGATAAATGAGTTTTACTGGTTTTAGTTAACGTATAATAAACTACAACAATTCCTGTAGGCTGTAGGTATATGTTATTAAGGTATTTTTATAGTTTATTTTTTTTCATACTTTACAAATTATTCATTAAAAACATTTTCAAAACCGGAAGCTTAGGTGTGTAATACCACAAAAGTATAATACAGTGTAAAAAACAGCTTAATTCGTTTATACAGCGAGCAGTTTTTTTTTTCAGCTCATAGTGTACTTTACACGTTCTTTTAACAGTCATCGTTTATTATTATTTTATATTTTATACCATTAAATACATACAAAGAGTACTTTTCCGGTTTAATTACCAAAAGAACATGTTAAAAAAAATTGTACATTTTAAAAGCTCATACCATATTTTATTTTTGCATTCTTTGTTAAAAGTATAAAATTATAAACAATTATAATTTATGCAACACATACCTTTGCAAGTCATTTAATATTTTTTTTCGTATATTATAAAACCTCCAATTCGAAAAGGGTTGATAAAAGTTTTAATAAAATCTCTACGCATTACAATATTCTAATAAATAGTGTTAGAAGAAAATTAAGTTCTGTATAGTTACAGTACATTAAAAATACATAAATTGTATAAACGAATAAAAAATACCTTCTTTTAAAATGAAAAGTTTACAGGTTTATTTTATTTACAGTTCAATAAATTATCATAGTAATTGTATTTTATTAAAATTTTATTTATTTCAATCCATAACACAATGATCTAAATAATAATTTATGTGATCATCTAATCATGAATATATAAATGCATTTTTAAAACGTTGGATTAGCAAATAATTATCTAATAATATAATACCTATATATATCATAATTGTTTAAGCTAAAACAAATCAAATTTTAAAAATATAGCTGTATAGGTATAATAGGTACATACTATGTAGGTACTATATGATAAATATACGTGCCAAAGAACACATATTATACTCCTACTGTCCTACTATATTATCTAATATGTTATAAAAATTTCACACGAATATTGGTACATTTTATTTTTACATATTTTTTAAATTTAAATATTAAGGCATCAATATCTTGGATTATTGCATGCCATTCAATTTTATATAATTGTTTCTTATGTATTAAGTTTAAGTCGATTTTATAAGGTATGAGATTCTCATTTTTTTTAATACTTAAAAATGGATTATTAGTGCAGTTTGGATTTAATTGAGCACTTCAGCTATGTTCAATGAAATATTCAAGTCTATGTGTGTTGAGATATATTGAATACAATCCTCTACTATGTGTTTGGCAATTAGTGTTTTGTGAAATATTTCAAGTATAGATGAGGCTCTTTACTTGATAAGTGTAAGCATATGAGGATGGTGTGTCTGATTCTGATGCGGGTAACTGTGATGTCTAGTCTTCAATTAAACGAAATGAGAATTTCCCTTTTTTTGATTGTTTTTTTTTTTTTTTTTTTTGTTTATATATTATATTATTGAGTTTGTTGGATGTTGATAATGAGTCTCAGTAATTTTATACAGACAAGAAGATGTTTTTATGGATAAATACTTTAATGCCATTTAAAGAAATATTATTATTATGAATTATGAATAGTTTTCGTTGCATGATCGGCATATTTATCTGATTTTTCATTTCCTCCGATTCCGATGTGTGATGGTACTCACACGAGTTCCATATTATTATTCTTTAGATTAACTCCGATTTTTTTAAAATCAAAAAAAAATCTTTCACCTTTTACGTAATTTATTTATTGTTAAAAGTGATTATTAATCCGAAACACACAAAATTGGATAGCTTCGTATTACCTTTTAAACGTTATGATGCATAGAAAATAATAAACTATAGCTTAGACAGAAAACCAAAAAACTGTTGTTTATTATAATTTCTAATGAACACCTTTAGATTATTAAACATAGATACATGTATTAAATTCTTAATTATAATATGTCTTGTCTCGTATTTATAATATATTATGGGTATTTCGTATACAATAATGATAATAATGTGCTGACAACAGCGCGCTTAGGTTATAACGATTTGTACCTAATTAATGTTTTTACCCTCTTCCGCGGAGATCACACGGGGTTGCCCGGATGGAAGCCAAAACGCATACATAATATAATATTATATCGTATGTGCTTTATGTATACTTACATATCATATCATTATATACATACGTATATACCTATACAGTACGATTTTAATATATTATTATGACGTGATGTCAGTAATATGAATTTACGCACGTGTTTAACCGTGTCTGGTATGTCTTAAGCTCTGAAGTGCCGATTTACGACTGTCCGGACGATAACGGGCTCACAGCTCACGTCAAACAGGCCGTACACATCTAATAATATATTGTAAAATAGCGATGCAGCAGAAAAACGACCAAGCAAAGAGTGAGGAGGGAAAAAAATCCATCGAAAATATCCTACACCGTTGGCCCACACTTCCGCGAGAGTTACACCCCACATACACATTTGTATCATACTTGTCAATTTGTCATATTATATTATATTAAATTATATGCGTCGTTCCACGTTTTATATGTCGTCTGCGGGCGCGTAGTAAATTAGTCCGTCTGAATATTACGGGTGATAATTACTTGCACGAAACCTGCACGTCTGTAGGCTCAGTCGCCACCGGGCCTAATAATAATAGTATAATACTTGCTGTTAATGTTTTCCAGCTGTGGTGCACGTCAGCCGGCTTAATATACGTATAATATTTGGTGTCGTATAATACACAGCTCTGGAACAGCTACGATGGCGGGCCACCCCCGCCCCGGAATAGTTCGCGCGCGGCGGCGTTTTGCACCCCATTTGCGAGCCGCCAAATTAGCGTTTCGGG